TTATTTTTCAAATTGGCAAGCATCATAGATTCGGTCTTTTTCAAATTTGATTTTTGGAAGTCCTTTAACAAGTTTCTTTTTGGAAATTTTTTTTAGCGAATCCATATTGAAATGACAGAGCCTTCTATGCCACAGTCAGGGGTCCTCATTTGTTATTTTGAGACAACTAAGGCTAGAGGAATCAACTTTTTTAAGGATAACTACATAAATGTTATTTACTCTTTTTCCTTTGAAAACAGTGTTGAATTTTGAGTTAAGAATATGACATTCATGCTTTTTAAATAACACAAACAGATTCCTATCACACAATTGACTAACACTTAACAAGTTGTAACTCAAATTGTCAACTAAAAGAACATTGTGAACAAATGTTTGACCATTCTTACCAACATCACCAATTTCAACAGTTTTGGCTTTGTTGTCATCTCCAAAAGTTACCTTTTCGCTTGCTTTTGGTTTGAGCTTGATGAACTGTGATGTATCACCAGTCATATGTCTTGAGTATCCACTATCTATGAACCACTTTGATTTCTTAATAATGTTCACCAGGTTCACCTCTTCATCACCAATAGCCATGAAAGCCACTTGGGCAGATTCCTCTTCTTCTTCGACTTCACCTTCTGAATTGCAGTCATTCCAAGTGATTTGAAAATTGTTGAACTTTGATTTTCGTTCAACCTTGCTCTCCTTATTTTTCTTCATTGGACACTCATTTGCATAGTATTCAGGTTGGCCGCATTCAAAGCACTTATCAGTTTGCTTTTTGTTGAACTCTAACTTCCCTTTGTTTCTCAAGTTGTTGGACTGATTCGGAAAGAAATTGCTAGGTCCACCTTTTCTGAATCTTTTCTTGTTGAGTATTCTTTTGAAATCTCGTGTGATGAGTGCAATATCACTGTCATCACCTTCCATGTCATCTTCATCTAAGGAGGTTGAATCATCTTCATCTTGTGAGACTTTTAGATTAATACTCTTTCTCACTTTCGTATCTTCTTCCTCCTGCACCTTAGATTTGAGTTTTAGCTCATAAGAGGTTAAAGAATTAATAAAAGATTCAATAGGCAAGCTATTTAGATCTTTAGCTTCCTCAATGGCAGTCACCTTACTCTCACATTCATTGGATAAAGCATTCAGAATTTTTTTATTTTTCTCACCTAGAGAGTAATCCTTTTCAAATACTTCTAAATCCTTAATAAGATCATTGAATTTGCAATACATCTTGTCAATATTTTCATGAGATTCCATCTTAAAGAATTCATACTTAGTGACCAGAATGGAATTCTTTTGTTCTCTCATATTCTCACTTCCTTCATGGATTTCTCTGAATTTATCCCAAATCTCTTTTGCAGATCTACAGCCTTTAACTCTAATAAACTCATTTGAATCTAAAGCACTGTATAGTACATTCATAGCCTTGGCATTTAAGGTAAGATGAGTTCTATCCTCACCAGTCAACTCACTCCTTGTTTTTTGTCTCAACCTATGAGTAACTTCATCAATAATAGAGGTATCATATGTACCTTCATTGACAATAAACCACAACTCAATATCAATGAATTGTAAGAAAATAATCATCCTCTCCTTCCAACTCACATAATTTGATCCATTGAACATTGGAGGTCTAGTGACGGATTGTCCTTCAAAAAATATGGCATTGTTGGTTGTCATTTTTACTCCAAATCCGATTGAGCTTAATCTCTAGGAGACTAAGCTAGGATACCAATTGCAAGGATTGAAGACAACCTAAGAGGGGGGTGAATTAAGTGATTTAAAAACTAGCCAAAATATGAGTCACTTTTTGAGAACTTGCCCTCTTTTTCTAAAGGACCACACAATGGAGCAATTGATAAATAAGCACAAGTGCTTGAGAGTAGAAGAGATAGACAATTTATATTGCAAGACAGTAAGTAAAATGATAGAATAGCAAACCAAGTTTCAATCTTCACTTGAGTTTGAATACCACTTTATATAGTAAGTTTCTTCAAGTTGATTAACTTACAACCAAACTCTTGTGTACAATGGAAGGATCACTTCCTCCTCGCCCCAAGCCGCACTTGGTCAAGCAAGGAAGTTTTACTATTACTCGGATAACCCTCACAAAGCTACACTATTAATGAAATAGAAACACACTTGAAAAGTTTATTGAAATTTCCACAACTAAGAGTACAAATCTTCTTTAAAGAGTATTCTCACACTTGAATCACTCAAGATCTGATGTAGTCTCAATGTGCGAAAGTTCTTTTGAAGTGGTTGACTTTACTCTATTTATAAGAGACCAAAAAGTACTTCAATTAATACTGTCAACGGATAGAAGGCAGCTGAAGAGTCAACTAGCCGTAAGTGGTGTCGGACGTCCGATAGGCTGGTTTTCCCCGTCCGATCACAGGCAGTGAGTTCAAGAAGTTTTCTTGAAATGTTTAGGACGTCCAGTGCTTCAATATTTTGCGTCCGAAGTGTCGCAACGTTTATCGGACGTCCGGTACTTAGGTGTTGTACATCCGAACGAAGTCAGTGAGTTTAGAGAACTCGACTTATTATCTTCGGACGTCCGAAAGTGAGTTCCTTATGCGTCCGAAGTTACTCGAAGGTTGTCGGACGGCCGATGCAGACTTTTTGTGCGTCCGACTCATGCTTCTGCATATGTTAGCCTGTTTTGCTCCAAATCTGAAAACATCTATTTAGGGAATATTAGTAAAATCCATTTATTTTGTAATCTTCAAAAGATACGGACTAAGATGAACATCATGTCTTTTACCTTATAGAGTATCATTCATCAAGTAGATGCAAAGACAAGTGAAGAAACATAGGGTTGCTATCAAATTTACCTCTTAAATCCCACAAAACAAAGTTAGAAATTCATAACATAATCTGAAAATCATGAAATCCACCATACAAGTCCTCTTTTAACTTTTATAATATTATATATCAAATGAACTCAAAGATAAGGAAAGATTTCTAACAAAATTCACCTTTTTACCTCCAAAACCTTAGATTGACAACCAAGCAAGAATTATTCACAGGTTTCTTCCTCCAAAACTTCTCCAATGGCTTCCTCCCAAATTTGATTCAAGGTTTGTCAAAATAAACTAGAATTTTCTCTTGTTTTCTCTCATTAATCAAACAAGAAATCAAGACTTGAACTTATAGTTTTCTCTCCATTTTTGTCTCGCATTTTTGGCCATCTCAAGAAGAAAACGATGGAGTTTTGGTGCTAAAATGTAAGATAAATACTAAGCAGGTTTTGGTCAACGAGGGTTTAAATGAGTGACACTTGGCGGAACTTGGTTTCATGCCTATTTCTTTGTCTCTAGTCATTAACATATCTTGTGCTTCTCCAATTAACTCTTTAACACTTCTTATCACATAATCTCTTTTACAAAGTGTTCCTTCTAATCTTTCAAATTTATTACACACACCTCACAATCGGTAATACTAGTGTAATACACTATGAAAATCGACATGCACCAAATTAAATGTAGAAGCAGCCATTTGAAGATGCTTTAATTAGGTATAATTGTAGAATTTTTTACAATTTCATTAACGAGCATGTTATAGCACATGACTTTTTTAAGCAGAAATTTGAAAAAATCTCTAACGTGTACGAAATGTGTGTAAATATGGTAACTTTGGGTACCAGATTATTTTTCATTTAAAGTTTGGGTTCCATAATTGCTTAAGGGTCGAGATTTAGGTATCAAAACTGTATTTTACCCTTTTCTTTTAATTGGTGCTTCATGTATGTTGAACTCTTTTTTGTTCATTTTCCTCTCTTACTGATTTTATTAGGGAATAGCTACTCTATTATTGTGGATGCTTGCAATTAAAATCAATTTTGATAAATCAATTAAGAAAATTGTCCATTCATTGAAAATTTTAATATTGTGAAGTGTTAGGATAAAATAGCAATGCGTATATCAATCTTGAATTGATACAAGGTAATATCCTAATTAATACTAATTGATACGCACATCATTTGCATTAATAGTAATGATAATAAAAAAATGACATACATAAATTGGCCTACCTAAATTAGGGTGTAACAAGCCTAATCAAATCGAGTACTTAGTGTGTTTAAAAAGAATCGAATAAGCGCATAATAACAAAAATTAAATTGGTCCAAACTTAAAAATAGGGTAACCAACTTGCAATTTTAAAAATGATTAGATTACTCGAACCTACTTTAAAAAATTAGGTTAGGATATAGTTTTGGTATATATGGTTGGTTAGGGTAACTAGTGCCCAAATCTCAAACCATGATTATTTAGTTATTTACTAATAATTTGAGTTAGGAGCACCATTATATATTTTATTTTTCAAAACTTATAAATTTATCTACCTAACCCTAACTCTCATTTACCTTTTCTAGTTCCTACTTTCGTCACCATTAATTTCATTGAGTTAGGAGGACCATTATATATTAATAGTAAAAAGAATATTCGATGTTTTAATTATCTAACGTGTTTTGATTTTCTATTTTGTTGATTGTTTTTTATAGTTGGAGGAGTAAATACTCTTATTCATTTGAAAAAATGATGTATTATTTGATTTATTAATCTAATTCTTTTTTTTTTCTGTAAACGAAGGATAGGTTATTCTGCATACCTGACCTATTCATAGGTTAATCAGTTGAATTTTTTACATGTAAATTTCATTTATATGTTAATCAAGCCAAATTTGAAAATTTTAAATGCAAAATTCTATTGAAACTTGATTTGATTTAATTAACTGATGAACTAAATTCAAACGAACTTTTTCCGACCTAATCAAAAATTGAGTATCGACTCGTTTGATTTGTCTTTCAGCACAAACCTTAATGGACACTTATAGACACTCTCTTTTTCCCCCTTTTTCCTTTACTAGGAGGAGAACACCGCGCGATGCGCGGTGTAATTTTCAAGCTTGCCCAGAAACATCCAGTTATTCAAATTAAAAAATTAATTATAAAAAGTTACATAAAAATGTATCAAAATCTTTGCAATAGTTACAAAAAGAACATCAAATATACCCATTTTATTTTGTAACAAATGGATGGCTTCATTACCTGTGGCACTGGTAACTTGCTAGGTTGACATTGCCAACCAAAATAAAGTTCCAACAAAAGGCAAACTACAAATTACCTAAGAAAACAAATTAGTTTACTCTCCTTGCCACTACTGAGCTGATAAAAAAAAAAAGAAAAGTAAATCTTGCAACCCATCAATAAGGTTGACAAATAACCAAAAACTGAAAAAACAAAAACAAGACTAACATCTCTAGAAAAAGGAAACAAGCAAAACTACAAGCCGAACAGCAAGTGTACAAGCAATTATATGTCCGAGTTGAATTCTGCAAAAAAGAAATTGAGCTTTAGGTTGTATGATTCTCAAACAGAGAAATCAAAACAATAAAAACAGAGCAAGTAAAACAAGTAAAAGAAAATAACTTTGGATCTCGAGGAAATAGGATGCCGTCTCAAATTTCCACCCTTCACTTTTTTAAAGACCAATAACAGGACAAAGAAAGCAGAAAGTTACAGCCAGTTACAATGAAAAAAATCTGTTCACACAAAAAAAAAGGACATTAAAACATATCATCCAGGCTTACTGAAGAAAAGTAGCCTCCTTTATCTTTTCTTCCTTCATCTAACAAAGACTTAGAATAAAAAATGCTGGCAAGAGCAAATTTATTGGGGGGAAAAATGAAGACGACAAAACCTTGGATCTACACTAAACAGATTAACATTTTTTTGTTAAAAAAAAGGGCCTAAATAAAATTAACATTGAGAAAACAATTTCCAAAATCCTTTTGTACTATGCTGTAAATCTTAATATCTCAACCCATAATAAACATTTGGGATTTAGTAGAAAATAAATATAGTTAAAATTCTTATGCTACACCATCAAATCTAGCATAGCATATGTTAAATCGCAAAAAAGAAGTAAAACAATAGGAATTAAGCACTAAACACCTAAATTTTTTTCAAAATTTCACATCCAAATCACATTGATGCAATAAGACAAAACATCGTCCCTAAGCCACTTTTTGAAGTAAATAAATAGTTTGTAATCTAAACAGATAACAAAGGACCTAAAACTTACAATAGCAAACAATTAAGGACCAAAAAAACATTTAAAGTTACTTTTGCAGCATCATAGGTGAATACATGAAAGGGTTCGGACCACCTTAAGCAAATGAATCAAAATGCAATCTACTACATAAAAGGACACGTAGAACTACATAAGAAATCTGGTAATATTTGATAAGTCAAAAAGGAAAATATTTACAAGAATAAATCAGCATTTTCTGAAAACTTTTCGTACTTCCTATAACAACATAAGAAAGTTTCCAAACAATGTGATATGATAATTCAACCACATTTCCAAACAACATAGCAGATACAGGAGAACTATTATTAGAAAAAAGGCTTTCTAAATCTAAAACCTAAACAAAGGACCTAAACCTTACAATAGCAACAATTAAGGACCAAAAATACTTTTAAAGTTACTTTTGTTGCATCATCGGTGAATACATGAAAGGATTTGGATCACCTTAAGCAAATGGATCCAAATGCAATCTACTACATAAAAGGACACGTTGAATTACATAAGAATTCTGGGAATATCTGATAAGTCAAAAAGGAAAATATTTACAAGAATAAATCAGCATTTTCTGAAAACTTTTCGTACTTCTTATAACAACACAAGAAAGTTTCCAAACAATGTGATATGATAATTTTACCACATCTCCAACCACGTAGTAGATTTAGTAGAATTATGTTATTGAAAAAAAACCTTTCTAAATCTAAAACCTGATTCTTCTATAATCATTATAAAACAACCAATAGTTGGCCACAATCTAAAACACAAAAGAAACACTAACATGAAGTCACCAATTATCAAAAGGGATAAATCACAAAAATTAAGGTCATTAGGTATGAGCACCTTGATTACTAACTCATACTGCTACTCAGATAGCATTTTGAATATCCAGTGTTCTTTTTTGACGAGTCTATTTACTCAAAAAATGTTTATCTTTTTTTTTAGACAGTGATAAATTCCTCTTGCTTCCTACAAAAAATAATGGTAAGACAAAAAAAATTCAAAAGATTTGAGACTTGAGAAACAGAAATCAAAAGAACATTCTTATCAGCCAAAAAGAGTTAAAAAAAAACTTCAAATGAATATACCTCTATAGAACAGAAAAAAATGAAAGGTAGGTGCTATCATCTTTCTTCCTACAAAGGCAATAACATAAAAATATAAATCAGATAAAAAATATCAATGACACAAAATACTTTCTAAGAGGCAAAATATCAGAAGAATAAAGGTCTTGTTAATAAAAAAAGAAACCATGAGTCATTAAATCTAATAAACATAATCCAACAGATCAACTAAACATAATCCACCGGTTGAAGGATGAGGGACAAATCACAAAAGGGACTATAACTTCAAGCTAAACCCAAACATAAGCCAAATATTCCAAAAAAAGAAAGCATAAAATGAGCTTATTTACTTGGAATTGAAATGTGCTAAAATACAATTAAGTACATGATAGAGCAACAGACCTTCTATACATTCTTGTGCTCGATACAAAAATATCAGAATTGAGAATGTTTCCACCTCTTGAAGCGATACATTTTGATAGCTTGTAACTATTCCACCTCATCGTGCAAGAAAAATATGGAAGAAAGGGTAAAGAGTTCACAAAGAGAACCTGAAAACAAATAAGTAAAATAGATGGTTATTAAATAATTAACCAAAGACAATGAGAAATGTAGTAGTTGAAAGTAAACCAGCAAATCACACAAATCATAAGTTTGTATAAGGGCTCTCAAAGAAACGTAAAAAAAAAAGCAAACTAAGTAAATATAAATACAACTCCATGAGAACTATTAAAACTTAGACCAATAAAACCAGTAGCAAAGGTATGGAGAGATCACTGCCAACCAAAAGAAGAAAAAAAAAAGAGATCGAAGAAATTAATTCACATGCAATAAACAAAATTTTCCAGAAAGAGAGCCCCAAATTGCAGGATACCTTAAAGCCGTCCTTGGGAGAAATATGATCAAATTTTATTCCATACAAAAGAAAACCCTATAATGATTATTTTTCATCTCTAATATAATATGCGCTCAGAAAGGAGGATGGGGGCAACAAATAAATATGGTTGGAACGAAGCTTTAGATCTATAACTTTTCTAACAAAAAAATAGTTGATACCAGTATGAACAATATTGGATTTTCTCATATTATAGTTGAAGGAAGAAACGAGTAAAGAAAAATACTATTTATCACAACCAAATAACCCAAAAAATATAAAAGGGCAAGAAATTAACTGTAATTCCTCCTTCAATGGCCTTCCTTGTGTTTTTTTTACCTGAGATAATCACAAAAAAATTCCATAAGAAAAAATAATCATAGTCTAAAAAGCCATGAGAAAAATAAACATCATGTGAGATCTCTTACCTGGCGGGTTCTGTAGAGATTGAAGATACCAGATAATAAAAAGCAAACCTTAAACTTGCACCCTGAAACAAACATGAAATTGATTAGAGAATAAAGAAAATCAGTCAAAATAAAGGAAAATTTTAAAACTAAAAAATGGCTAGATCAGCGGATCGAAAATAAATCAGATAAGAAAGATCTCCAAGGTAATTATGTCCCAATAAAGAGAAAAACAAATAACCCAAAAAAATGAAAAGGCAAGATACTAACTGTAATTCCTCCTTCAGTGGCCTTCCTTGTGTTTTTTTAAACCTGAGATAATCACAAAAAAATTCCATAACAAAAAATTATCATAGTCAAAAAAGCCATGAGAAAAATAAACATCATGTGAGATCTCTTACCTGGCGGGTTCTGTAGAGATTGAAGATACCAGATAATAAAATGCAAACCTTAAACTTGCACCCTGAAACAAACATGAAATTGCTTAGAGAATAAAGAAAATCAGTCAAAATAAGGAAAATTTTGAAACTAAAAAATGGCGAGATCAACGGATCGAAAATAAATCAGATAAGAAAGATCTCCAAGGTAATTATGTCCCAATAAAGAGAAAAATAATTGAGAGAAAATAGAAATTTTTCTGTGTAGAAAGAGGGAAAAAATCATAGGTTTATGAGGAAAAGGAATGGAGATCAGAAACAGAAAAAGAAAATCCAAATGTGAGCAGTTGAGCAAACAAGATCGACCAAATTTTCGAGGTTCTCCTATCTCAGAGTAAGGAGCAAAAAGGGCAAAAAAAGAGAGAGAATAAAAGGTGCGTTTTGAGCATCATTTTTTTTGAATAATCTTTAAAAGAGGGGAAAAATATAGAAGAAAGGGAGAATAGATGCGGTGTGTTGTTAGTCTGTTTCTTTTCTTTTTTTCAGAGAAAAAAATGGAGGAAATCCATGGAAGGAATGGAGGCGGTCAGTCATACTCTCGGATGAGACAAAAGGAAATAGAGGTGTTTTGGAAAAAGGGAGGTGAGGAGACTGGTAGAACAAGCGGCGCAAGCAGAAGCAACAAGCAAAGACTCTCAGGAACCCTACCTATTCATTAAGGCGTGAAATCTCGATTTTGTCCTCAATTCAATTCATCAGCTCAATCAACGGAGGACGACCACCAATTGGCCAATAAAATTGTGCCATGTCAGCAATTAAAACTCAATTGGAAACAATGGCATTCGCGCACAATCAGCAAACGTCCAATTCTCATGCGGGCTGGACGACATCAAATTGGAATCCCACGGGCCAGACGATCACCAATCAACCAATGCAAGGAAGCCACGTCAGCAATTGAAGCCCAATTGAAAACAACGGCATTCGCGCATAGACTAGATATGTTAATAAAGAGGGAGAATAGACGAATGAAGAAACGGGGCTGAAAAGGGTCATCGGATTAGACTAGTTGTATTGAAGACGCGCAATGGTTGTTGTGGTTGGGAAGTCCACTCTGACTCCGGCGCCCTTTTTGGCCTTCCCATGGAAAAGTTGTTCCGTTGTTGACGAGTTGCGTCGTAGGAAGCCATGGTGCTGTAGCAGCACCATCAGCCTCGCCGTCACTTTCTCTCTCTCAAAGTACTACCTGCTGTCTGCTCCTTCTCCAGGATTAACTAGAGCAATCCTCCAAGAAGACCAAGACCAAGACTACCACCTCCTCTCTCTACAAGCTAAAGAATTGTCTTCTTCTTCTAATTCTCAACTCTATGTTTGCAATCTGCCCAGAAACTATGGCATTTCTGAGCTTGTTGAAATCTTTACACCTTATGGTACTGTTCAGTCTGTTGAGGTATTTAATTTCCGTCCTCCTTCTAAAATTCAAAGATGGACTTTAGCTTGAGCTGTGCCTTTTTTATGTGTTTGATCCTAATTTTGAGTCTGTGGAGTCTTTTTGTTTTTGCCTTTGTTTGCTTTAGGTTTCTAGGGATGCTGAAACGGGTATTAGTCGGGGATGCGGTTATGTCACCATGAGCTCGATCGCCGAGGCCAATGCTGCAATTGCTGCTCTTGATGCCTCAGTGAGTAGTGTACTGTTTTTGCGATGCCCAGATTTTTTAAAATTTTCTTCTCTTTCCCTTTGTATTTTTGGTTTAGTGCCGCCCTTCTGCGTTGCTGATCCTGATTCGCCTTTTCTCATATGTGCGCCGAAGGATGTTGGCGGGCGTGAAATGCGGGTGAGGTTTTCCACTCAAATGACCAGGGGCAGTTCCCGTCATAATCTCGGGCCTGTCAATTTGTCCACCCGACGGGATTTCATGTTTGAAAGCCCTTACAAGATTTATGTTGGCAATCTAGCCTGGTCTGTTACACCTGCAGATTTGAGAAACTTGTTTTCCCAGTTTGGGACTGTGGTTAGTGCTAGACTGCTCCACGATCGTAAAACTGGAAAGACGCGTGTTTTTGGGTTTCTCTCCTTTTCCTCTGCTTCAGAGCGGGAGGCTGCTTTGTCCTTGGATGGCATAGTTAAGTTTAATTCCCGTTCTTGCAACTTTTGCCATCTTACGGCTCCTCGTTTTTTTCCTCTCCAAAATATTCATTTAACAATTTGCTTTGCAGGATTTCTGTAGTAGGAAACTACTGGTCAGAGATGTTTTTTCAAAGATTTCCTGAGTTTGCTCACCGCCACATTTTTTTTCTGTTTCAAATTCTCAAAGATTTCTCATCAGAGTTGCGAATTTAGAAATTGATGATAATTTCCTTTAACAGACGGAGATGGAATTAAACAGGTAACTCACTCGCCTAGCTCACATTTGCTTTACATGTTCGCCTATGCTTCCATCTCAGCTAAAGATACTCATTCCAAATCTGAACAGTAGATTACATAATGTCATGATCCTTGACAAATTTACTTTTGTGATTAGCATGTGCTGAGAAGTTGTACTTCATGCTGGATTTGGATTTAATAGGGCTTTAAATGCCTTTCGCCTTTGATATAGATAGAGCATCTATAATGAAGTTCCCGATCAAAATAATTAAATTGTGTGTATCTTCTGGTTAATGACTCATGCTCCTTGGTAGAACAATTTTTTCCTATTAGGAGGCCTGCTGTGGGTTTGGTACATGAAACCTTCAATTTTGCTTGCAGGAGATAGACCTGATATGTTGAGCTCTTCCATAGTTGTTCTTTTACTGCTGTGGCTGCACCGCTGCATGGTGTTAACCTATCCATAATGCTTTTGCTTTCATTATACACATTTTCATATTTATGTTAAAATCATTTCCTTGCTGGTTCCCTGCTTCTATAATCCCTATCAACAAAAGATTTGTTAGAGTACCTGCAGATTACGTTTTTGTTTTCTGTCTTGCCAGAGAAGTATAAGTACTGAACTGTATCTAAATGGTCAATGTCCTTCGTGTAACAGTGCTTCATCTTCTCATGCTTGTTCAGTTTCACTGAGTCAATACCTATATTTTCTAGATTCATGATCACGATCCAAATTTACCTAGTATATGCTGAAAATTATTGGACATGCTTGCATAATTTAGATATTGTACTATGTTGCTGACATTATGAAATCTGATAGATGATTACACTACTTAACAACTAGACCTGTTGAAGGACAAACAAGTAGTATTACATATGGTGTATTAATAAACTTTGGTAGTATCATGGAATCGGTCAGCAAATATTCCATTGATTGTTAGATCATACTGACTTATGGGATTTCAATTCCAATAGATCCCAACAACCCATGATGATACTTCTCTAGGATGTAAGTCAATTATCCTGTTTTTTATAAAGAATCAAACACAATCTTTCCCAAAGCCAGGCTCCTAAACCTTGTGTAGTTAGCCAAAGTGAAGCAATTGTGCTTGTTTTGTTTGCTGGTTTTCCAGCATAGTCCTCATTCCACCTACTTCTATCATCCCACTGAACTCTTCCTCTTGAGACTGATTGAGTATTTGCTCCTTAGACTTCCAACTGCAATCACTTCAATTTGTGAAGGTGAACGAGGAATGTAATTTCTCCTATTTACCTTTTTTTTTCTTTTCTTTTCTTTCTACTTGAAAGTTTGGCTGGCTGGGTGATATTCAATTCTGTTTGTGGGGATGTAGCGTGAGGTATGGTAACTTGAGATGTTTGAAGGTAGTTTCTGAAAAAATGAGTTCAATTCATATGCCTAAAGTTCCATAAATAAAATATCCATTTCCTTTACCTTTATTTGGACAAAGAGTTAGGATTCAAGCCACCCAAACATGGTAGAGGAAGGAAAGTGACGGTATCTGTTCAATTAAGGTAAATGGTGTAAATAACCATAAACTGGAATTGCAGATGTTTGTTATTTGAGTGAGAGTGCTGGACTTTGAGCTTCTCAATCCTTAGATGCATAACTTTGATGGTTAGATGAGTTTATGGAAGTTTGTTTAGCTCATACAACTTCCTACCAGCGAAAACTTCTTGGGCAAAATTGATGACGCCTAAGATATTTCTAAGCATATTTAGCTCTTGACATATTTCTAGGCATTTTACTAAGCATTACCAAATGGAAGGTAGCAGTTTTATAAGATTTTATGTGCGTTTATGAGACCGAAATAGACGGACTGGGCAAATGTATAAATTTGGAGAAGTAACTGTTTACTTCATTAGATTAGATGCCCATTTGCTGATCATCTGTGCAGAAGATCGATTGAATCTGATTCGTCAGTCTCATTGCTTCATGGTGAAAATTGCTAATAAAACTCTTAGGAAGAGTTGGCTTCCCCTTCTGTCTCGACTATTTTTTTTGACCGATTCATCCTTCCTGTAATCTGGCAAAGTCCTTTGGTACCTTGATTCAGATTTATGAGTGTTCCACAGCGCTCCTAATAGCTACAGTTTGTTTTGCTGATTTTAGTCAACGTCAATCTAGAGGTGTAAACGATCTGAGTGTCAAACTCGAATCGAGTTCAAAGTATATGGATTGCTAAAGGTATTAGAGAAAGAGCTTTTAATAATATCAAACAAGTATATTTTATTAGTTACGTTGAATTTTATGTAAAACTATCACAATTATTTTACAGTTTCCTTGTCTCTATTCTTATTATTTTAGACTTATTTTGTTTCTATTTTCTAAATTGTTCTAAAATACTTTTCAAAGTTCCGCGCCTACAACCTTGACAGATTTCTTCTTTCGTGAGTGTTTTCAGTTGTTTTTAAGGTTTTGATCTAATAAAAAGTAGGGGTTATTCCTATTGAAGTAGGGATTTTTTTCAGTCACTAATAATAAGTTTATCCTTTTTTGTATTAAAATTATCTCTCAATTTCTTTAGGCATATTCATATTCAAAAACCCTTCTTCTGGTTCAATACCCAATTGAGTACTTCTAGACATGGAATAGACTCAAAGGCTTTCTAAAATTAATTTATAATTTTAACATATAAAATGAGATAGACTTATTAATGGAAGAATTCTTGGACAATTTGTTGTTATTAGAACAACCTTTTTGGAGAACTAGATATCATAAAATTCTAGATTGAAACTAAACATCAAACAATTAGAATATTAAATATCCAAAAGATTTATAAATATTAGATATGAACTTACTTACAATCACAGAAGATGTTGATACGACTTGTGTTGGAAGTTTGTAAGATATTGAGAAGAAAGCTTTATCAACGAAGATATAACAAAAATAATACTAAAAAAAAGACAGTTTTTACAATATCAATCAAAGAAGTGTTTTAGATTGGCTTACTGAAACTAGATTCTTTAAATGCCTAATTTTCTTCTTGCAAAGCTCTTTCTAGTCTCTCCTCGAGAACATGTCCGTTCTTTTATGCTTGAATTGTTAGATTGTAGTTAGCACCGGCTGAATTAGCAGTGCTTCTTTCTTTAAATATCTGATAAGATTCTATCTTCTAAAGGTATCCAATGTTAGATGATAATATTTGTTAACAGTAGGATGAAGTGGTGGGCAATTTGATTGCTTATTCTTTCGCTTTTTTCTGCTCATGTTAGCAGACAACTTTATTATTGCTCCAACATATTATTCAAATTTTGGAGTCCTTCACTACTTATGAAGTTTGCTAGATCATTTTTATCTTGGTTGTCTTCATCTTGATTTTATATCTCCAGAAAAATTTCTTCCATAAGGAGTTCCAACAATTCTTCCAAATGAGCTATTTGTAGAAATGTTGCATTTAGAAATTTCCATTCGCAGTAAATCTTTTGATAGTAATTTTCTAATGCTACTAACGACCACTATGAACGGGGTTCATTTCTTTAAGTCTGGCATATGCAATTTGTCTTACAATTCAATGACTAATTTGATCTTTTGTTCTTTTATTGTGAGATTTTTTACATGCTCATAAATAACTTTCAAAAAGTATCATCAATTTAGCTCGATATCCATCCAAGATTATATGATGTTGCGCTGGTTGGCATATTCCATCGATAAAATTTGGTCATTTGCTAAATATGATAGTTTCTACGTGTTTGCATTGATCTAGACTAAACAATGAATTTATTGCATATGTTAATTTTCTGCAAAACTGATTTCTCTGGTTTGGATCATAAAAAATTAATCAATGAACAAATCTATAGTTTTGGGTAGTGAGAGTTACTATTTGTCCCTCTACGTTTAGTCATAGCAATTTATATATATTTAGATATATAGAAATCTTAAAGATGTTATATATCAAATAACACTCTTAGTTTTGTCTGTTAAGAGAAAGTATTTGGTAAAAAGGATAATTTTAAAATAGGTACTTTGAGTTCGGTAGCATGTATTCAAAGTGAATAGCATACCAGATGGATAAAATTCAAATTCGCGAGATCTGAACAAAGATTAAGTTCTTGCCTTTCATCTACAAAATCACAACAAATAAAGTGAGCAACGTTTCCAAATAAATAATTTGCTAAACCATTATATTTTCCTTTAATATGTTCAAATATTACCCGGTAACGATTTCTAGTTATTGTATTTACAAAATTTTGTTGTTTTTTGCTATTCAATTTTTCTCATTATTATAGAATTTTACTATAGCTTCATAGTAAGTACTAATACTAAATGGTTTGTTTAAAGTCTAAAGGTTTTTTGGGCATTAATTAGCCGTAGAATTTCATAATTTGGGCTAGATAATCCAAATTCTTTATATTTTTCAGAAGTATATCTACAATTTTTTTCATTTTTATTACTATATTTTTTGGGTTTAACTAATAATATGACTTCCCTGTCTAGTACACTTGCATCTATTTGTATGTTTGTATAGTCATTTTCTAATTGTAAATCTAAATGATTATGAAAACAGCTGGATTTTTCTTTCATTTTCTCAATCCAGAAGAAATAGAAAAAAAAAAAGAGAATTAGATCTTTCTCTTTTAGATAGAAAACCTTGGCACAATTTTCTGTAGAAATTCAAAAAATGATCAACAGAAAATCCCAAAACAACGAGATTAATTGGATGATCACCTTCCAAGAATTTTTATGAGAAGTCCTGAAATCTAAATTCTATCCAATTGGTATGCTATTTACCTGGGATACACATTATAGATTTCAAAGTGCTTGTTTTAGAATGGATCTTTTTTGTCAAGCTTCCCTTAGAAACATAAAATTGCAAATGTCAATTGACATATAGCATCTATAAGGTTTTTATATTTTTTGGATGTATATAAACAGCTACAATTAAACGTAGAGGGATAAATCGTAACTTTTACTCCTCAAAAGCTCATGGATTATGAGTTTGTTCAATTATTAATTTTTTTTTATCCAGATTAGTTTGGCAGAAAATTGGTATACGTGGTAGATTAGTTGTTTAGCCATGATCAATTCAAATGTGTAGAACTTATCATATTTAACTATGGACAAGAATTTATCCATGGAATATGTAAATCAGCGCAATACCGTATCATTTAAAATGAACATCAAATTAGACCGATGATACTTTTTGAAAATTATTCGCAGGCATGTAAAAATCTCACAATAAAAGAATTTGAATGATACTTTTTGAAAATTATTCATAGACATGTAGAAATCTCAGAATAAATTTTGAAATAAACCCCGTTCACAGTGATTGCCAAGAAGATGACCATCAAAAGATCTAATACGGATGAAAATTTTGTGATATAAAATTTCTGTTGAGAACTAGGTTGGAATAATTGGTGGAATTTCATATGAAATTTTTTTTTCAAGAGATTCAAAACCAAGATGAATATGATCTAGCAAATGAAGGATTCCAAAATTTGGACAATATGTTGGAACACTAATAAAGTTGTCGGCCAACTTGGGTAGAAAAAATCAAAAGAGTAAGTAATCAAATTGTCCATTATTTAATCTTGTCATTGAAAATGTTATCATCTAGCATTGGATACTCTTTGAAGATAAAAATTTTAGTTGATATTTAAAGCAAAAAATAATTGCTCATTCAGCTAGCATTAACTACAGTCCAACAATTCAAGTATAAAAGAAGAAGAGTTTGAAGAGAATGGATAGGTCCTGTAGAAGAAACTAGAGAGAGCTTTGCAAGACCAAAATTCAGCATTTAAAGAATCTAGCTCCAGTAGATCGATCTAAAATACTTCTTAGATTGATATTGCAAAAATTGTCTTTTTTCTTGATAGTATTATTCTCGTATCTTTGTTGATAGAACTTTCTTCCTAGTATTATATAAATTTCTAGCATAAGTTGTATTGGCATCTTTTGTGATTGTAAGTTCATATTTGATATCTAAAAATCTTTTGGATATTTAATATTCTAGTTGTTTGATGTTTAATTTTAATTCAAAATTTTATTATATCTAGTTCTCTAAGAAAGACGATCTAATAACAAAAACTTGTTTAAGAATTCTTTTATTAACAGGTTTATCTCATTTCATAAATTAACTTTGGAAGGTCTCTAAGACTATTTTATGTCTGAAAGTGTCCATTCAAATATCAAACTATCTAGGAGAAGGACTTTTGAATCTGAACATGTTGAAAGAAATTGAGAGATAATTTTGATATAAGAAATGATAAATATATTATTAATGATTAAGAAAATCCTTGCTTAAATAAGAATAATCTCTGCTTTTTATTAGATCAAAACTTTAAAAGAACTGAAAACACACATAAGAAAAGAAATTTGTTAAAATTGTAGGTTAAAACTTTAAAAAGTATTCTAAAATAGTTGTACTTGGCACCTATGTTGTGAATTCTCTCTCCATTTCTCGCAGTATACATTTGAATGCATGATATGTGTTCTCATTTATTAACAATTGTTAGAATAACTTAAAATGATCATGTCCTTTACGAGTAAATAAATATACATGTCATGTATCTAAATGTGTATTGTGAGAAATGAAAAGAGGAGCCAAATCCTGATTTAGAAAATAGAAACAAAGTTTAAAATAATAAAAATCAAAACAAGGAAACTATAAAATAATAGGGATAGTTTTACGTAAAATTCAAACTAATTAATAAAATATACTTATTTGATAGTATTAAAACTCTTTTCCTAATCTCTTTAACAATCCGTATACTTGAATCGAGATCGATTCTCGGATCGTTTACTCCCATACATCAGTCTGCAGCCAAAAGTCAGAATGCTTTGTGCCCAGATTCGGTGCCTCAGTAAATTAACTTTTGATTAGTAATTTGGCCGTGCCCTAGCACCTTTTTTTTAAAATTTTTTTTTATTTTTACCATTAGTTGTAAAATTTTGCAAACATGTATAATTCAAATCGACATTCATTAACATTAATTTTTTTAAAAATTAATGTATTCTGAGTGTCTAACTATTATTCCAATTTTTAAAAACTTCTATACACACTTGTAATAATGTAATATTCATGAAATACTACCGACGCATCTCAAAAACTTGATAGGTATTCTTTGAGATAAGTAAAATTTTTATAATGACTATAAACATAGCACTGCATGCTCGTACTCAATTAAATGCAAAAGATACAGCGATTAATCTTCTCATGAATGAATATTTAGTTTTTATCAGCGTTAATAAATATACCAATAATGACAGTAAGTAAAATTAATCCAGATTTCAGAAACTATGAGGAAAAATAATTTTAATTGTTTTAGAAAGATAAAAGTTTTTAGAAGAGAGAGAAATTATTGAAAAGAATGGTTAGAGAAGAACCAGATACAATATGAGTTAAAATCCAAGTACCCAAATAATCAATCAAGTCTCTTCAATTAAACAATGTCACCTGAGAGACATAAGATAATTAATTAGATATAGTGCTTTTATTTTTTTACAGTAGCATCCGGATACACCAAATCTGAAAAAAATAATAAATATTATATTGAGAATCTTTATTCTATTTAAAATGATATCAATTACTTTGAGTCCAACAAACATCTTATCCTGCCAAATTCACTGCCCGTGTATCGAGTTGAGAGCTTGAGATCTGATAAAATAAATTTCGAAAATTTCAGATCTGAAAGAAAAGAAGAAAAAGTGAAACCACAAATTCTTGCTTCGTTTGCATTGCATTTGTAAGAATGTTCTTATTATTTGGCAGTTGTTCGATAAGAGTGTCTATACGATTAAAAAAGTGACTTTTTTTTTCTCTTAGAAGAAGATCTGAAAAGGTACGGTATTAATATTTGTTGATAAGAGTATGTATGTGACAGAAATGATCGTAAAGTTGTGAATTTGAAAAATTATTCTATTTTTTCTCTATAAACCTGCAAACCAAAAGGGTCCTGACGTATAGCAGGACGAATGATCCATCCATGCACTGACGGTGGAGCACGAAACCAAATCGAGAGGAGGAGGACACGAAGAAGTGAAGCAGAAGAAGGGGAGGCCACGTAACCAAATTCATGCACGGTGCTACACTTTTCGAGTCATGTCCGAATGTCGGCTGAAATTGGCTTTTCTGGCACAGTTTTTTATCTGATTATGTGGTTGCTTAACGTGTTGTTATTCATTTCGTGGCAGACATTTCCAGTTGCAAATTTTTTTCCAGTTTACTTTCAAAGTGCAAGCACAATAAATATGAGAGCTCAATAACAGAAAAGTTAATGCAAAAATGTAGTATGAGTTAGTTAAACGTAAATATCTCTCACCGCACAAAAGAAAAGTTTCTAACAATTAAAATGCGAGGGTGTTGCATGGAAAGTGTTCTCTTACTGATTATTCTAACACTTAAGTACCATTTTTCCAGGCTCGGTGGCCACCAGGAACCTTGGACTGTAGGTGAGGGTTCAAACCTCATTTGCAGCGAAAAAAATCTAAGGATTGTGCCAGAGCATTTTCTTGGTCTAGTTGGGTCTGTATTTTCACTAGTCCCTACCACAGTCTACTTAGGCTTTCTCTTCCCCCTAAATTAGGATAGACTAAATTATACAAATGTATGGTTACTGACAAAAAAAAAAATACCATTTTTCCTTTTCCTTTGCTTTGCGAACCCATTGAAAAGATAAAACGTGGACTATACATTGATGCCATCATCAGGAGGAGTAAAAAATACTACTGGTACGTAGTAGTAACCGGAAAGGAATTTTATGAAATAATAGCATATATGTAGCAGAATCGAATCCTCTTTAACTCGCTTTTCCTTTTTTCCTTGACCCCCGGTATTATTCTCTCTTCCCTCCTGCAATTGCGAGTTGCGGTGCCTTTTTCTCTCATCCACTTGCCACCACCGATTTCCACTTCCTGGTAGTACCCACTTCCCTTTTAATTCCTCCGGTCCTTCTAAGCCGGTTCAGCTTTAATAGCTTCTCCTCCCTCCCTCTCTCATCTCTATCAGTACTCCCCCTCTCCCTTCCTAAATTAATAGAGAGTATTTTTCATATGTCACATTACTAGCTAGCTGCAGCGGAAAAGAAGCACCAGAGCTAGCTGCGGGCAGGCAGGAATAAGCTAGCTAGTGGAATTCTCTAAGCATGAGCCATGAAAAGTGTGTCGACGAAGGTTGCAAGCGGTGTTCACGGAGGGGCTACTTTAATCGCTCTTCTGCAGCTGTACTTAAACGTGGTCGCGGCCGAGCCATATGCTCTTTCCTAATCACCTTCCTCGTCCTGGCCGGCATCACCGCTCTCATATTATGGTTGGTGTATCGTCCCCACAAGCCAAAGTTCAGGGTGGTTAGTGCTGCAGTCTTTGATCTCAACGCAACGGCTCCTCCCTTCTTGTCGGCCACCATGCAGTTCACACTCACCACCAGGAACTCTAACCGGCGAGTCTCCTTTTTCTACGATCAGCTTTCGGCTTTTGTCTCCTACAGAGACCAGGCCATCACCCCTCCCGTGATGCTGCCACCTTTGTATCACGAGACGAAGAGCACGGTGATTATGTCCCCGGTGCTGGGTGGAGCTTCTGTTCCCGTTTCGCCGGAGGTGTCCAACGGCCTGGCCATGGACGAGGCTTATGGAGTGGTGGCTCTGAGATTGGTACTGTTGGGAAAGCTGAGATACAAGGCTGGTGCTATCAGGACCGGTCGTTATGGTATATACGTCGAGTGTGACATGCTGGTCGGAGTGAGGAAAGGGTTTGTAGGTCAGGTGCCTTTGCTGCCATCTCCCGGATGTAAAGTAGATACTTGAAAGAGATCATCACCAAAGCAGCTATGGACATCATCTCATCATACCTCTTCAAGTGGCCCTCATCAGCGATGTAAACGTTTCCCCCGTTCAAGTTACTCACAAAACCAACGTCAGTCTACTGTTGCTACTTTTCACTTTTAAGGTCATATAACTCTTAAAAGTGTATCCCATATAACTCTTAAAGTTACCCTAGAGGCTGTCCTGTGGGGTTTCTATCCCACATCCCTCTTGGGGGTTGGGGGATTTGGTAGATAAGTCTCCTGACGTCCTCACAAGTTGTCGGTTTTGAGGATTGTTCGAGAATTAGGTTTATTTGCGAAATTCTGTGGCTTCATAAGATGATGAAAGAAAAAAAAAACTCTTAAAAGTGTAAATCTTTTGTCATTTCATTCAGTTTAGGCATTAAACTAGACGGAAAGAGATTTGCGCCACAGGCACGAGCCCGCTCAAAGGGTTAACAATTTCACAAAATTTTGAGGGACAATTTGAAAAGAAAAAAATGTCTCGAGAGTTAAATGGAGATACTTCACAAAGTCAGGGTCTTCTCAAAAAAACAACGTTGAAGGTCATCGTCATACCCAAAAATTTCCTTCTTAAAATTTTCATTTTAACTGAGTTTAATCAAATTGAACACAACATTATTTTAGCTTATTTATTTATTCTGACGAGTTTAAAATTGTATGCAAATTTAATTTGCTTATTAGTGAATTCAAACTCAAACAAATTTTTATCAAATCGAGTTATGTACTAAATCTTTTACAGGTAAATTTTAAGCTCATCTTATACAATTGTTCCATGCTCCTCGTCTCGCCTCTCTCTCTCAATCTATTGTTACCTTACAAAAAGTATGATGAGTCTTGGTGTGTAAGAGTGTAAGCAAAAATTAATGTTAATTTTTGTGATATCAAAATTGCCTTTGACATCAATAAATAGACAAATTGCATTACATTTCCTTAATAATTAATAAGTATTATGCTAACAATTTTTAAAAAATATTCCTTGAGTTGTAGTAAATTAAACAAAAAAAAAAGAACAACCAACTCCTTGCATTTCATTAATAATTAATACCAATTATGCCAATAGTTACAAGAACAAAAAATTGTTTTCCCTTGAGTTATGGTGAATTAGATCAAAAAAAGAAGAATGGTGAATCTTAGTTGTTAATAATGTAAGCAAAAAAATGATATTAGTTTTTGTAATGCCAAAATTACACTCTCTAATAAATAGGCAAATCGCATTGCATTTCATTAATAAACAATATCAAACATGCTAGCAGTTACAAAAAATGAAAGATTTCTTACTTTTTTTATTTATTAAAAGAAAGAAAAATGAATTTTATGTGCAAAATATCCAAGTTTTTAAACATGAAACAAAACGTAATAAATTGGTACTATGAGTCTCTTAAAAAGTACAACGAGTCTCTTTTTTTTCAGAATAAAAGTAAATTAAGCCTTAAGAGAACCTTTTTAGTATGTGTCCATTAGTATTGAGTAGGAAACTTTAATACAAAATGTAATAGGAGATGAAGTTCAAGGGTAGACAAAGAGTTTTATGTTGGAAATTTATTTATTTAAATTGCAATAAAAATTAAATTTAATGAACTTTATTAATGGTATTCTTATAACAACTTATAGCATTAAACTACAATTAATGGATATTATACACATCAATGCCAATCATAATAATAGTTATAAAGGTGAAACATATCCAAGTTGAATTCAACTATTATTTAATAAATAATCTTAATGACTTATAATTTTTAATCATATAAAATCTAGGGTTAATTGCACTTTGCACCTATGAACTATTTCCAAATTGAGCACTACACCCTAAACTTCTAATTTTTGCAATTCACTACCTTTAACTTTTAATTTTTCGTAACATAGTACAATCCACCTAATTTTGACAGATAAAAAGACTGTTTCATACCTTACTCTTGTTTTGTCCTACAAAAACCCTTTCTTAACTTTGTAAAAATAATATGGTAACAAACAAAGGCTTTCAATCATAAGAAAAAGAAAGAAAAATAAAAGGGTTTTTTCCTTGAAAAATTTAGTCATTGAAAAAAGCTTCCAAAACTCCCATTGACTCTCAACCTATTGGATGAAAAAAAAAAAAAAAAAAAAAAACAGCAATGCCCACTATCCCCATAACCCCCATCCACCATCCCAGAGAAGAGCAGTAAGGCATCCTAGCATGCCCTGGCCCTTCTCCCAATGAAGAAGCTCTTGAATTCAACAACAAAAACCATGGTGATGGGGATAGCCTGAAGACCCATTGTTTCTTCTTTTGTTTTTGACCAAAAAATGGTGGTGGATGAGCTTGAATCGAAATTTGTTGTGGAAGAGAGTTCAAATTAAGATATGGTATTGACTAAAAAAGGTACTTTCTTCTTCTATATAGGAGACGTCAATACCCACGGATTTAAGAAGTTTTGGTGGTTGTGATAGGACTCTTGAGGGTAGTGAGATTTCAGCATGGGATATTTCTCTCTCTCTCTCTCTCTCTCTCCCTCTTTTTTTTTTTTTTTTTTTTGATGAGGGTGTGGCTGTTTGACAATGGTAAGATTTAGGCTTCTCATGAGATGAGTTGTCTCATGTTTGATGAATTTTTAGGTAAGAGTGGTGGAGGTTTAAGAAGTTATAGTGGTGGCGGTGCGACTGGGTCATGAGACTTAGACATGGGATATTTGTGGACTTATTTTCTTTCTTGTCCAATGAGTTTTGAGGAACTGATTCAGTGGTTTGTTTGATGAGTTCTTGAGGTTCTAATTTGTTGATGAGTTTGAAGTGGCTATGGTGCTGGTATGGCTTTTAGGGATGGAAAGAATTGGATATGGGGTTTTTTAATTATTTTTTTATTTGATTGATTTTAGGAATTTGGGTTCTAGGAATTTGAGAATTTTTTGTCTCCAAAAAACTTGTCATAGGTAGGGTATTTTTGGAAGCTCAACAAGAAATTAAGGGTAAACTAGTCGCACCACTCTTTTTGTGATTATCTTTAGTTTGATTTTTAAATTGTGCCAAAGGTTAAAAGTTTGAGGTAGTTGATTGCTGTAATTCAAAGTTTAGGATGTAAAGTCTGATTCTTGAATAGTTGGTGGGTGCAAACTGCAATTAACCCTAAAATCTATTATCATAAAGCATGTCATCAATGATAAATACAAATAAATTTTACCAAATTAAAACATTTCTCTTCAAAATTATGCTATTTAAATTTGAACAATGGAATTTCAGTATATTTAAATACTACTATAATTACAATAGCACTATACATTATTTTACAATCCATCATTAGCAACAAAATTAATAATAATTAGAAAAGCTCACTAAAACTAATAAAAATTCATAGAATGACTTAAAGAGAAACAACAAATTATTCCAAAAGTTAAAAACTTTAACTCAAATGACATGAAAAGAACCTTCAAGTTATCCAAATTTAACAGAAAGACAAAAATATTGATACTACTATGAAATAAAAGTGCTATTGGGACAAAAAAAAATGCTTTTATTGTTTGTGAATTAGTGTTGATTAGAGCGAGTCAATTAATTTTCTAAAAATTTTAAGCAAAAAAAACTAAAAAATCACGTTCACGCGTATAACACTTGATCTGTTACTAGTTTAAAAAAAAAAGCTCACTATAAATCATAAAATTTATGTTGGATTTTTTAATTCATTTTTCACATTTGTTACCGTGTAAAATCTAAATCAATAGCCATGTTTATTAATAAACAATATACAATACGTGATTTAAAAAAAGTTAAGTGGACTAACATAACAAAATAATGGTTTTACCACAAATACAACATACTGACAAAGAAAAAGTACGCTCTTCTACACAACAATTATCATATTATTTAGGTAATATTATATTTATATATATATAATAATATATTATATTATAGGATAAAATACAGTAAAACCCGTGTGGTTTGTTATGACACACAAACACATCTACATAACCCTCTTGTACTTTGAATTTCTTTGGGAAGTGGATGGAAACTATCTTTATTGATTAAAAATCATCAAATTTCGATACTATCCTTACTTTAAAACACTAAAAATCAAATGTCGGGCTCAATTAAAAGTTAGTTCAGAGTTCAATTAAAATTTAAAAACTTTCTTATTTTTTTTTTTTTACAAAAAGTAAGGAACTCAATTGAAATTCAAAAAGATGAGTCATCTTTTTCTCCATTCCAAGCGTTCAACAAATTAGAACACCGAATAGTTTCTTCTTTTTCTCTTTTTTTTTTTTCATTTTTTGCCTCGTCCTTTCAATTTTCCTTTCTTTTTTCTTCAATCCGTCGATCCAGCCAACACCACACCACCCTACCACTGCCGTCACTGTGTTGTCATCGCCATGTTGTAGCTGGTGTCGTCTCCATGTTCATCGTTCCATTATCGCTGTGTCTAAATCTAAATTCATGTATTTTCATGTAAAATTGATGATGCGTAACAATATAACCACTCTTAAAGATCGTTGTAGTACTAATTTTACAAAATTTGGTTAAGACTTTAGGATACAAAGAGGGTTAGATAGATCTGATTGCGAGCCTCTTTTTACAAATTTTTGCCCATTTTTTTGGCCAAATTGGACACTGGAATCAACATCTACACGACAAATCTTCTTTGGGATGTACATTTGATGAAGTTTTAATGATAAGCAATGGTGGCTGACATGATGGTGGTAGCGGTGGTTGTGCAGTTCCATTCTAGTTTCGGGTTTGCTGAAACAGGAAAAGGGAAAAAATTAACAAAGAAAAGAAGAAAAGAAAAAGAAGAAAAAAGTTTTGCCGAAAGTAAAATATCAGAAACAAAGAAAACTTTGGTTTGCTGTACAGCAAGGAAAAAAAGAACAAAAAAAGGAAAAGAAAAAGAGAGAAGGAAAATAGAAAGAAAGTTAAAAAAGGAAAGAAAATGCTGCAGTTTCTGGCTTCTTGTTTGAAAGCAAGAGAGAAGGAATATTAAAAAAAGAAAAATGGCAGATTCTGAAGAAAAATTATTTTGGGACAAAACATATTCTGGCGATCAATCATATACTTATGTGTTAGGTGAGTGTCATTCACTCTCCGTTTAATAATTGATTGTTCAAAACCACAGCTTATTGACGATCTAGCAAAGTCTGTGCACTAAGGTCATATTCCTCCACTGCAGCATTCCATGCTCTAACGAGTTATGAAGAAGTTGAAAGTCTGGAACTAGGCGAGCAGCTCAGGGGTTCTCTGCTTCATCGATCTCCCCTTCCGACAGTTGATGCTGCTTTAGCTGAGTTGATTATTTAATTATACTAGGGGGAAGTACCCGCGCATCGCGCGGGTGTTTGATGCCTGTAACTAAAGAAAATTTTTTAGTGGTTGAAGTGAATATTATTTTC